GCTGAGGATATACTTGGATGTGGCTTGGGTGGGGCCACGAGTTGGGGGAGGCAGGGTTTCAAGGAATCCTCTGGGTGGAACAACCTCTGTTATCCAGTCTGATGATGTCTCAGCTATGATGGCGCTGTGTTTGAGCACTGGGAGTAGGGAGGACTCAACAGGGAACAATGGATACTGTAGGCACTTCTGTACCCAGTGAATCTTGCCTCGGCCTTCACTCTGACAATGTCTTCCTGTAAGTCCCTGGTGCCCCCTGCACACAGCCAAATCAGCATTGGTGCTCAGAGCGAGCAGGTCCATCACTGCAAAAACCTGCTTGTGGTCTCATCCCCTTTAAGAGGCTTCTGCTGCTGTTGCAGCCTCGGTCTCACTCATCCACTCAGGACCGGGCAGCCCCGCGTCCTCGTCCTGTCCTACCTTTTGCCATTGCAGGGTGATTTCTTGGATTTCTCTCTAGTTGTATGGCTTGTTCATCAAGATCTCGGGCGATTTTTCCTTGGTGCTGTTCCTTATTTCCATCACAACTTTAATTTGCTTGCCAGAGGTATGAACAGAGCCTCTATTATCTACGCCATTTTTTCCCCCTTGCATAAGATTTTTAATTATATGTATGTGTGTGTCTCTTTAAATTTGTTGATTTTAAAAAATTTAATTGAGTTCATTGGGGTAACATTGGTTAATAACATTATATAAATTTCATGTGTACATCTTTATAACACATCTTTATACTTTATTGTGTTCTCACCACCTGAAGTCTAGTCTCCTGTCACCATGTATTTGACTCCCTTCATCTTCTTCTGATCATTTTTTTAAGTTTTATATTAGTTTCAGGTATACAGTACAATTCTTAAACACTTACATGGTTTATGAAGTGATCCCCCTGATTAGCACCCATCTGGCTCTACACACAGCCATTACAATAATATTGACTATATTCCCCATGCTATGCACTGGTTCCTCGTAACTATTTTGTAACTATTAATTTGTACTTCTTCATACCTTTACCTTTTTCACTCAGCTCTCCCAAACCCCCTCCCCTTTGTCGAGGGGGTTTGTTCTTTTTGTTCCTTAGATTGCACATATAAGTGAAATCACATGGTATTTATCTTTGACTTATTTCACTCAGTATAATACCCTCTAGGTTCATCCATGTCGTCGCTAATGGTAAGACTTCATTTTTTATGGATGAGTAATATGTACTGTAACATCTTTATTCAATTGTCTATTGATGGGCACTTAAGTTGCTTCCATATCTTGGTTATTGTTAGTAGCACTGCAGTGTACATAGGGGTGCATAGATCTTTATGAATTAGTGTTTTGGTTTTCTTTGGATAAATACCAGAATTGCAGTTGCTGGATCAAAAGGAAGTTGTATTTTTAATTTTTTGAGGAACCTCCAAACTTTTTTCCGTAGTTGCTGTACCATTTGGCAATCTCACCAACAGTGTACCAGGATTCCGTTTTCTCCACATCTTCACCAACACTTGTTGTTTTTTGATTTATTGATAAAGAATTCATACAACTCAAAAACAGAAAAACAATCCAGTTAAAAAATGAGCAGAAGACTTGAATAGGTATTTGTCCAAAGAGGAAATATAGATGGCCAATAGACATATGAAAAGATGCTCAAGATCCCAATCATCAGAGAAATTTTGTATTTTTGAACCTGAAATGTTTTGCTTGTGTGCTTGTTTAAGGTCAGTGACTTCCAAGGGGTGCAAAGGCTTTACCTTGGAGGCTGCTCAGGTGGGAAAGCTTGGCTCCTCTGCTTTGTATATTGATTTTTAGGACTCTCACCACCTACAGTGATTCCTTTTCTGCCAGATTGCTGATGTAATAGGTAATACTTGAGTCTAATTTTCTTTATAATAATTTAAAGTTTCTAAGCTAATTTTCAATATATTTTCTTAAAATTCATGAATGTTTTACATAAGTATAATCAAGAAAAAACTTGTATTACATTTTAAGTATCATAGTTTTTAAAATTTAAGAATACTTTTCTTTACTCTTTCTGCTCAGCATTATTCCAGCAGTCTTGCAAATATATCATTTTAGAAACTCTAACTGACTTTTCCAAGATCACAGGGCTATTAAATGCCTGAGCTGTCACAAAGCTGGGTCTTCAGATTCTTTGCTCAAAGCTCATGAATTATCTTAATATCATATAATAATATAATAGAAAAAGAAGAGTTCTACTTAGCAGATTTGTTTTTTTGACTTTTTTTTTTAACCCTTTAAAACATATAAGTGATGCTAAAACATGCACTTAGAAAATTTAGCCTTTCATAAATAAAAAAAAATCTGTTCTGGTAAAACATTAAAGCTGAAAAATATTATGGACAAAGGTCTAATTTATCATAAACAAAAGTTTTCTAATTTAATAAAATTAAAGATACATGCTACTCATTGTCTTAGGAGACCGGTGTCTAGTGTGTAGTGGGAAAGGTCTAGTGGGAAAACTAGGGGCCAGATTAGAATGAACATTTGTCAGGAGTCTACTGTATGTTAGGCTCTGGGTTGATGCAGCCTCAGGAAAGCCACTTCACCCTTTGGTCTTCTCTTTTCTCATTTATAAAATGAAGAGACTACATGAGATGATCTCATTTTTTTTTTTTAAGTTTCTAGGTAACACGACGTAGAAGATATTCACATGTTAGATAAGTTCTTCAATCTTGTTCATGTTTTTATGGTGATAAAAACTAGTCCAACCTGCATTTTCAAAACTAGTCTTTCTGGGTGTAAGATTTTTAATATAATTTAATGATGCTTCAGAACAAGTGGGATTATCTTTTAGAGTCTAGGCTGTTCTCGTATTTAATATGAGTTATGCTCATAACTGAAGAGGGCAATAAAATTCTGAGATTAAAAGAAATACATTAATAGCAACCACATTTTTAAACGGTTTTTCCTTATATATTTGCCAAATAAGGTACTGTCAGTACCACAGTGCCTCCTGGGTTCTCCGTAGGCCAAAGGTAAGCTGGCAAGAGACAAGTTGAGACTGGGTTTGGAAGGATGCCAAGGAAACACAGGTGTTTGTAGGCAGTGACACTGATGATTCAGTTGAAGATGACGTCAGGACTAAATCGGCTTTCAAGCAGGGGTCCTAGGATGCAGCACTTAAGCCAGAGGTGGAGTTTCCAATGAAACCAAAAACAAGCACTGAAATCTTGCTAAAAGCTTACTTAAAAGTAAGATTACTCATTTCATCTCACGTAGGGTTGAGTTTGAGTGTTGCAATGAGAGAGGGCCACAGGAAACTTTCACTGTTAAGTGAAAGTGTGAACTACAGGGAAATTAACTCCCAATGATTGATTTATAAAAATATATATTATTAAGATGAAGTACAGCTTCTATGATTACTATTTTTAAAAAACTTCCATTTTGTTATTTATTTAACTGGTTCTGAGCATAAAAGTGTAGCGCAAGTACTTAAATTCCCTCTCTGCCTAGGAAATGGTTTTCTCGAAAGCCCCTTTCATAATCCTGAACTTCAGCGTGTTTAAAGTTTATGTTGGGTTCAGAGTCTCCACTTCAATCAGCAATCATGATCGACAATAACCTATTTTTACTGCACTTATCTCAGTGCCTCAAACAAAGACTATGCCAGAAAAAATCTTTGACGAAAAAAATTAATGCATTATTTATAAGTGATTGAATTAGAATAAAAAGCTATTGTCCTTTGGAAGATGAAATCTAGTAACACAATCTCACCCTCATTCTTTCATTTTTTTTTCTTATTTACTATAAAAATTTTAGGAGCTGGTATGACCATTGAAATTATAGAGGCAGTCTAACTACATCTATCAGTCAGATAAAATCTTTGGTAACAAGTAAAATTAATCAAACAGGGAGTTTAATCAATTCACTGACTTATTCAATCAAACTGACAAGCTTTTATTTTTTTATCAAGAGTTTTTCCTACAATGAATATATCTATTGTATTATTATTGTTCCTAATTTATACCTGAGATTTGTTTTCTTCCACTGGCTGAGAAAACCATAGAATGTGTGTAAGAAATATATAGATTTTAAAAATTTTATTGGGAGTTATACTGAGACCTAGTTTCCAGAAATAAAATAAAATATTCATAAGATTAGTGATACCCATTGCCATGAATTTGGTGGCACATCTCCATGCCCATCAAAGAAATAAAACTTGGTACCATTGAAGCACAAATTCCAGAACATAGTGGGAGACGCAGTTGGACAGGAAGATAAGCAAGATTGTGAAATGCCTTGTCTGCTTTATTAAGGACTTGGACTGGTTTCTGGAGGTGATGAGAAACCATTAAGAAATTGAAGAGAAATCATCAGATTTGATTTTAGGAAATTCATTTCAATCACTGTATAAAAATAGAGGAGACGACAGTTAACAGAATAATCTACTTTCTCTAGGTGTAGTAGTATATCTTTCCGCAGCAAATTTTGTTATCTTTTTTGTTGCTACATTGTTAAACATCACTGAACATTTTATTTATTATTTATTTATTTATTATGGTGACATTGATTAACGAAATCCAATAAATTTCAGCTGTACGCTTTAACAGTAAGGCATATATATGTTTACACTGTGTTCACCTCTCATAGTTAGAGTTCTTTCTGTCACCACATATTTGACCCCCTTTACCCCATCTACCTTCTCCTCCCTCCTCCCTCATACCCTCTGGTAACCACTAGTCTATTGTCCATGACCATGAGTTTCTGTTTGTTTGTCCTGTTCATTTGTTGCTTTTAAGTTTACATCCCACGTATAAGTGATATCACGGGATTTTTAACTTTTTCTGTCTGGCTTATTTCACTTAGCATGATTATCTCGAGATCCATCCAGGTTGTCACAAATGGCAGTATTTCATCTCTTCTTATGGCTGAATAATATTCCATTGTATATATGTACTACATCTTCTTTAGCCAATTATCTATCATAGGACACTTCAGTTGCTTCCATGTCCTGGCCACTGTGAATAATGCTGCTATGAGCATCGCTATGAAAATATCTTTGTGGATATGGGTTTTCAAGTCGTTGGAAGTAAATACTCAGTAGAGGGATTGCTGGATCATATGGTAGGCCAATTCTAGTTTTTTGAGGAACCTCCATACCGCTTTCCATAGCGGCTGTACCAATTTGCAATCCCACCAGCAGTATGTGAGGGTTCCATTTTCTCCACATCCTCTCCAACATTTGTTATTACTTGTCCTATTGATTATGGCTATTCTAACAGGTGTGAGATGATATCTCATTGTGGTTTTGATTTGCATTTCCCTAGTAGCTAGCAATGTTGAGCATCTTTTCATATATTTGTTGGCCTTTTGTATGTCTTCTAGGGAGAAGTGTCTGTTCAGGTCCTCTGCCCATTTTTTGATTGGATCGCTTGTTTTTTTTGTTGTTATTGAGTCATATGAGTTCTTTGTGTATTTTAGATATCAGGCCCTTATTGGAGGCATTGCTTGCAAATATATTTTCCCATTCAGATGGTTGTCTCTTTACCTTGTTGTCGGTTTCTTTTGCTGAGCAGAAGCTTTTTAGTTTAGTGTAGTCCCATCCATTTATTTTTGCTTTTACTTCCCTTGCCTTTGAGGTCAAATTCATAAAATCCTCTTTAAGTTCAAGGTCCTTGAGTTTCATTCCTATATTTTCTTCTATGCATTTTATATGAACACTTTTATTTAAAGGCAATTCAAGGACACTTTTATTTTACCAGTTTCTATAGAATTTGCTCTGTTTATCTTTACTGGAACTTTGGTGTCTATTGAAAAGTGTTTATGGAACAAAATACTTGTTAGTATTTATTTGAAAAACATTTGCCAAGCTTCTTTTGAGTAATTTGTTTATTTCAAATGTGAACACAATATAATTTAGCAATGACTGGTAAAAGTGCCTTTACAGCTATTTTTTTTTTATCAAGAATTTTTGTAAAATTTGGTATACCAAATAGAAATATTCTTAAAAGTGTCTGAATCAATGGTATGAAGTAATATAATAAGTTCTGTAACAAGGTTGAACAGAATATAGCATTTCCTCCCTATACTTTAGTGTATTTTCTTAGGTTGAAGTAGCTGGTATAAGGAGGGGTAATCAGGATTACCTGTTGGAGTTTTTGTATCTGACTGGTGTAATATTGGAGTTCACATTCTTTGCTCCACCCTACTGCCCATAAGATACTATATCAATCCAGTGGCAGTTTGATGACATTCCCCATTAAGAAATTTTCCTCATTTTCTCTTGATACATTTCTATCATCACCCCACAGAGTCATTGCCCCTGTTGCACAGTCGCTTGGTATATGCAGTAAATGCCATGAAATGTTATCAATCCACTAGAGAGACATTTTCCCACCTTCTGTGCCTTTAAACTTTTAAGAGTTGAGCAAAAAAAATAGGATCTGTATAACACAAAGTAAAGTTAACAGCTGTTATGCGAGGCAAATTCTACAAATTTGACAAGTAGAAAATCCAACTGAAGCCACAGATCAACTCTGACCAGTTGTCTTTTCTTTGTCATTTTTTTAAATAACAGATAAAGACATACAATGTTACATCAAGCAGATCTTCACGCATCCGCATTTGGAACTGAAGCCTGAATTTAATCCGAAGATCAAAGATTATTACTCTGAAGTCCCATTTGATGTGGTAACAGTGACAATTGGAGCAGAGACTTCTAAGTGTCAATGCAAGGTGTCCCTGCATGAACGGGCAGGGCCAAGGTATGGGGACTCTGCTGGGCTGAGAGTAGACGTCATAGTGGGAAACAAACATTTGAAGCAACTTTTGAAGGTGGTTCAGAAAAGTCAAAGCACAGGACCACCTGGAGAGATTGCCATCAGTGTGAAGTCTTCCACTTTTTAGGTGTCATATGGTTAAAAAGAGCACATCCGGGCTCTGAGTTCTCAACCCACCTGTTAGGAATCAGTGTATCGAATCTTAGTAACAATGTTGTAACAAGAGTGGATCTTTTGCTATGAAATATCAAAGAGGACTCTTTAGGGGAAAAGTTTGTTTATTGTTGTCTTCATGTTTTTAAATTGCTGAAGAGTTAATCCTTCTGAATGGTAGCTTCCTTCTACCCAAACGAATTGCTCAAATTTGATTATTCAGGGATTGATTACTTAATAAACATGTTGTTGACAATTTGTGAACATGTAACACTAACTTTCTTAGTCTCACTGAGATTTTTTTCTATCAACTCTTTTGAGAATCACCAACTCTTTTATTTGGAATTTTGAACAGAAGATAGAAACTTATTACATCCATGTCCATAGTTAGGCAGATATTTGTGTCCCCATGCTATAGGCAAAGAAAGGCTCTTGTCACTGCTAGGAGTCAAGAGAGTCTAGCAGAAAGAAAATAGTACTTATGTCAGATGAATCTGGGTCTCCACCCTGACTCTATCGTGTGACTTTGGGCTTTTGTTTCCCAGTTCTGTGTCATGGTCTCCATATTTAAAATGGAGACCATCGTAGTTATGTATAGAATTGTGAGTATTAAATGATAAAATGTATGACACTGACAGATGGTTAAGAAATATTAGTTCCCTTCCCTATAGTTCATAGGGAACATGACTTGCTCTGTAAGATAACTCAGCACACCAAAGTACTGTGAAACCAAAGTTAAAATATTTTCACATTTTAGGTTTCTTATGAAATTGTACAGACCTTATGCAAATTGTAGGCATTTAATGTATGACTTCACTTGTGCTGAATAGATGTTACTTTCCCCAGCTTTGCCAACTACCCTCTGGGCTTAGGGACAAACAAGATCTCAGTGATTGTGGTGGATGAATCTCTAGCCCAGGATGAGACTGTGATCACATACAAACTCACCATCTATCGAGAAGACCGTCCAAGTCTGCCCTTGTTTGAAGATTTTACAGCATGCGGTTTTGTGCAGGTAAGTGAATTTTACATTTATATTTGGATTGAATAGGGAATGATGTTAACCCAGGTGATAAATGCCAAGTGAAAGTTGTTAGGAAAAGCATGTATGCTTTTAAATCCAAACCGTGGTCTCATTTCAAAAGAGCAAGAGTCCCAGGAGGTATTGAAGATACCCTGTTATGAATGGTTTTCTTTTTAGTGGGGTAGCTCCTTTCTGAATTTATTGTGTTCAGTGGATTTATTGTGGTTAATATTGAAAAAATGTCTGAGTACTCACACTTAGTTATGAAATTGGTTTTATATTTCCCTTTTAAATTAGGCTGTGTTTCTTGGATTTGTCCCTGGATCTACTTTTGAAATTTTAAACTAGATTCAGTGGACTTTATTTTAATGAAAGGAAAATTTATGGAACTATTTTACAGAAGGGATACCCAATGAATGAAATTAAATTTTCTTGGGTAGATATATTTTGAATTCACTTCTCACACTTTGATTATTCCTAAAGGCTGTAGTTTCTCTTGAAAGCAACACATGCCATTTTGTATCTCCATTGATTTTGGAGGCAGTTGAACATTACCCACAGTGTCTTGTTTGTTGGTTCTCTCTGTTTTTTTTTCTTTCGTTTTCCAGGATTCTATGTACAACCTTCTACATTCCTTCACATCATAGGCCCTCACTACAGGTGATTCCAGGGAAGTAGTAATTGGTGCTATTATTATATACGCTAATCCACTCAGAAAGTATAATTGCAAATACATCATGTAATGAGGATTTACATGCTACTGGGTTAGTAAGAGAGTAATGGCCAACCGGAACTCAGTGGCTGGTGTGGATATATCATGATTTCTTAAATGTAGTGGCCGGAGGGAGTATTCTCTCCCTCTCTACCCATGACCACCACAATTTCATCTGCTCCCCAGAGTTTAATATTACTTCGTAAGGGTATCCATCACTGAGATTTCAAAGGGAATTTCAGATTGGTCTAAAGCAGGACAGAACCATTATTCTGAAAGGTAATAATAGGTGTGCTTTAAAAAAAAGTGGAAAAGAGTAGAGTTCCATGGTCAAATAAGTTTATGAAGCAATGGGTTAAACTTCTCTGAACCTTTCATACACTAATTTAAATGGCAGGCTTTTGAAAGGAGGTACGTAGTATGCGGCATTTCCCAGCTTATTTGACATTCTTTTTATGGAATAGATATTAAATATCCTTCTGTGAAACACAGTTGAGGAAACACTGGGCTAGACTATGGAGAAAACTTAAAAATATGTTCCTTTCTGTCGTCTACTTTTCAGTTTGCTTTACTTGGGCAGTAACCCTTTTGAGCCCAAAGAAGTAAACTAGGAAAGCAGATGCCATCATCCTCTAGAAAGTGGTACTGGCCTGTTGTGCTGTCAGGTAGAATGACCCTGGAGAAGACAACTGGGAAGAAGCCCCTTCACACAAACTCAGAATCCTTAGGTGGATGGAGTAGGGGCAAGAGGTGACAATGGAGACAGACCACGGGGTAACCCTTTGGTCTGATGGTGACATCTGATATATTTTTAGTGTTTTCAGCTCCCCATAATCTAGGGGAGGAAGAAGGTCAAGACAAGTTGTCAGAAGCTGAGACTGAAAGGTACTTACTTCGCAAGAAGAAGATAACCTTAAGGCTGAAAAGCTTCTAAAAAGATGCTCAAACCCATTAGTCATCAGGGAAATGCAAATCAAAACTGTAATGAGATACTGCTACCCACCCACCACAATAGACAAGATTAAAAGAATTGATAATGCCAAGTGTTGGTGAGGATGTCGGGCAATTTTCTTTCATATGTGCCTGGGTAGAGTTTGGTCATTTTGGACATTTTGGCAGTATTAGTCTCAGCTATCCTCCTGTCTACATTCAAGATAAATGAAGTCATATGTCCATCAAAAGACATAGCCAAGAACTTTTTATTAACTTTTAAGATAATTTATTTTTTGGAGCAGTTTTAGGTTCACAAAATCGAGGAGAAGGTACAGTGACTTGCTGTCTACTCCCTGCTCCCAACATGCGTGGCCTCCTTCCCCATTATCAGCATTACCAGAGTGATACAGTTTTTACCAAGGATGAACCTACACTGACACATCATAATCACCCAAAGGCCACAGTTTACTTTAGGGGTTACTGCTGGTGTTATACACTCTATGAGTTTGAACAAATGTATAATGACATGTATCCATTATTATAAAATCATACAGCGTATTCTCACTGCCCTAAAAGTCCTCTGTGCTCTGCCTATGCATTCCTCCCACTTCCCACCAATCTCTGGCAATCACTACATAGTTTTACCTTTTCCAGAATGTCATATATTTGGAATCATACAGTATGTAGCCTTCTCAGATGGGCTTCTTGCACTTAGTAATGTGCTTTTAAGGTTTATTCATATCTTTTCATGGCTTAACAGCCCAATTCATTTAAGCCCAAGAAATCTTCGTAGCCGTTGTCTTTAGAATAGCTAAAAGCTATAAATAATTCAATGAGAGAAAAGATAAATTTAACATAATATTGTTGAGATATTTTAAAATAAATTAAATATGGATACATATCAACATGGATGAATCTCTAAAACGTTATGTCGACAGAAAGAAGCCAGACATAAAAGACATCCTGTATTACATTTATATGAAGTTTAAGAACAGGCAAAACTAATCTATGGTGATAGAAATCAGAATAGTGGTTACTTAGGTGTGAGTACCCTGAGCATGAGCGAAATTTTTGGGTGATGGTTACATATGTAAGCAGTTGGTATATAAATATATAAAAATGTAATTAACTATTAGACATTTGTTATGAGAATATGAAGAAAAGTATTAGGAATTTTTTGCGGGGGATGTTTTCTACAGATGACCGAAGAAAAGTATTTCGGTCATTTATAGAAGATAACCTTAAGGCCGAAAAGCTTCTAAAAAGATGCCAAACCCATTAGTCATCAGAGAAATGCAAATCAAAACTGTAATGAGATACTGCTACCCACCCACCACAATAGACAAGATTAAAAGAATTGATAATGCCAAGTGTTGGTGAGGATGTCGGGCAATTTTCTTTCATATGTGCCTGGGTAGAGTTTGGTCATTTTGGACATTTTGGCAGTATTAGACTCAGCAATCCTCCTGTCCACATTCAAGATGACTGAAGAAAAGTATTGCGGTCATTTATAAGAATGGTTTCCAGGTCTTAATTTAAAGTTTATGTGTGGCCCCATAGCAATACTATGTTATAACATGGAAAAGTGTCTAATAAGCACTGGTATTTTTTAGCCTTCCTTTTAGAAACTGTCAAATGAATGAGCGATGTAGATAACTTTAGACCCATAGCTAGGAACCAAGAAGAGTTAGCAGCAGAGGATCTCTCGCTAGAAGCTCCAGTTAAAATTCGAATCCAGAGACCCTTCCCTTATTTCTCTTTTATGCTTAATTTCATTAGACTTTTTAGGTTTCACTGCAAGTTAATGCCATGATGAAGTTTAGAAGACAAGGAGTGAGGGAACGCAAATACCGATCACTTTTCAGGTATTTGAGAATTTCCAAATGAAGTTAATAGCTAAACAGATAAACATTAGGAGACTTAGAAACTTTTGGTCTTCTGAATTGTTCTTTTTCTTTTCTGTCAACATAGTGCCTTCCTTCATTATATTCTTAACGCTGAAGTGTAGCATCGAACTATTACAGGTTAAATGATAGGGCTTTTCTATCTGAATCTCCAAAGCCTATACTTGAAATGTAAATGAATTAAATTTTAATTACATTTTATTTGTTGGTTAAAGGAAAAATTACAATTCCTCCTCACATTTCAAATTAGGTTTTGGCCTAATAAACTCCATTATTAAATTTTAAATAAACATTAAAAACAATCTACCTTCAAATAACCAAAAAAGAAGAATCTCATTTGTGGTTAATCAAGCCTCCTAATTTCTCCTTCTCCCATTCTCTCACCTTCTGAACATCAACTATTCATTTCACCCTTTCACCAAAAGACTAACACTAAAGAGAAAGCCAATATAAGACACACCAGTCAATTAAAAAATCAATTACTATGACTTTTGGTGAATAACAACATAATTTGTTACTAGACATTTTAAATTATTTATATGTTCAAACATCGTTAAGTACTTACTTAGCCATAATTAACTGTTTGAGTTTAGTGTTCGTTTCTAATTATATTGCTACAGAAGAAACTCTTAATTTAGTTATTACCAGTGAGAGAGAAAGGGCTAATTTATGTAACTGATATATAACAACCAGATTTGAACCCTAGGGTTTCTCAACCTTAGCACTGTTGATAGTGGGACTGGAAAATTCTTTGTTTGGGGGAGCTATGCTGTGCATTATAAGATGTTTGGCAGCATCCTTGGCCTTTGTCTGCTAGGTTCCAGTGGTATGCCCTTCTCCAAGTGATGACAACCCAGAATGTGTCCAGATATTGCCAAACGTCCCCCGGTGAGCAAAATCAACCCCAGTTGAGAACCATTGACAGAGACCAATGAGAGGTCCTATTTTTCTGCTTCCTATTAGAAAATCTAGGAAATCTCTAGTGGGCTTATTAGAAGTGTGAATTATTTAGATGTAATCCTTCAATGTTAAATGTTGAGGGATTATTCTTTCTTCACCCTTCCATTTTTCATAATTTCTGTAGTTAGTGACACTACTCTAATGCTCTTTATTCTACTTATTACTTTGCCATATTTTCTAATGTAATTATTATAATCAGAAACATGCATTCAATTACAGAAAACATGATTCTTAATGAAATGTTAAAAAGTCATAGAACATACATAGACTGTTATTTCATTTTGATTTACCCGTAAGTAGCATAATATCTTGCTCTTAGGAAGAAAGATTTAGGAAGTAGTAAACTGTTATTATGCCTAGAATATGTCATGCTTATGAATTAATAAAATATATTTATGTTCTAAGGAAATTAAAATACATATGGGGAAATATTTCTTTTAATATCTCTTTCCAAATCAAAACTTTTTACGTGGACAAAAATA